TAGCTCTTATGTTTTAAAAACATACTTCTTTCTGCTGATTTGAGATAATTGCTCAAAAACATAGCTCAAAGGCTATCTTGGAAATCAAGGTTTCCTCTCATGCTTTATTATGAAAGCATTTACTCTTTAACTGAAAACTAGCCCAAAGGTTCGTTACTGAAACACTAGCTCAAAGGCTCTTTACTGAAACACTAGCTCAAAGGCTCTTTACTGAAACACTAGCTCAAAGGCTCTTTACTGAAACACTAGCTCAAAGGCTCTTTACTGAAAAACACTAGCTCAAAGGCTCTTTTGAAAATCTCAGTTTTCCGTTCTTATTTAAATGTAAAAACATTTTAAACACTTTTGGGAATACATAGTCCCCATATATTTTTGAAGAAATGAACTTCAAATTTACTTTTTACTGAACTCAAAACTTAAGTCTTAAAACAAATTTTAAACATTTGTAAAAGTCTCCTTAAAATATGGTTCATGTTGAATGATGGGCATGAACGACTCAATGCAAGGTTTTCAATAACCATAGTTAGAACTCAATACTTGGAACTCAAGAACTTCAATGATACTACTCCTCTCAAAACTGTTCGACTTATAGTGTTCATGCGGGATTATGGGTATGAAATGTTCAACTCAAGGACTCAAAGTGTAACATCTCGCACCTAGAAACAACTATAAAGAGTTTAAAATATGAAAATATTGATTTTTGGAAAGAATAAGGAAATTTGGAAATTTTGTCTAAGTTAAGAAAGTGAGTTTTGGCCATTTTCAAACGGCCATAACTCCTAGTTCAGGGCATTTACTTGACTTGAATTAGTCATTTTTCTGTCACAAATTGCACACAATTTTGGTATGTGAAATACTCACAGTAAAGAATAAATCCTTACACAGACTGTTTCCAATTTAACGATAAAGTTTTTATGTTCTTTTAATCGTTAATTGAATGAATTTTAAAAATTCAAACAGAGTAGAAAACCATAAAGGTTCTAATCTCCAGAAACCTCAAATATAGAAACTATGAAATTTCTTAAGATTGTTATCTCCTGTATTCAGGTTAGTAAAAAACACATAAACAAAACAAAAAAGATGAAATAGACATAATGCTTTTAATCCGAGTCCACAGAAACCACTATGTTTCCTTAAGAAATTTAATCCCCTCACTGTACCCGAGGTTCCAGATTAATTCCTACGAAGATAACACAGATTAACCTGTTAGAGAAGTAGCGGTACCTAAAACTTCAATAACTTCAGCGAACGCAAGAACAACAACAAGAGCACACGCAGACTCAGTCGATCGACAATTTTGTTTATGTAAGAAAATGTAAGTAGAGAGGAAAATTTATTAGTGTTTTAAAAACGGAAAAAGACCTCTTATTTATAGCCATTTACAGCAAGGAACGCGTCTGTTCAGACAAATCTATTCAGACCCATTTTTTCCAGAACGTTGTGTCTTTTGGGAAAAGTAACGACTTTTTGAAAGGAACAGGTCCCTTCAGAACGTTTTTACCGTTAAACGTGAATTTCTAGATTGATTAATTAATTATGTTACTTGACTAACATTCTGAATTAATTTATAAGAGAAAGGAAATGAATTAACAAGATTGATTAAATAAATTTTGTCCAAAAATATTAAAATCCAAATCCAAAGCCGAGGCCAAGCGAGCGACGACGACGGCGCGAGGGGGCACCTTCTTCTTAACCCTTTAAGAACTAAAGGAAGTGTTTCCTAATATAAGGACAACAATTTCCTTTCTTCTACCAATATGGGAAAAATAACTTTTCATTTGCACTTTGCAATGACTTTTCATTTTCCCTCCAAAATTGGTTCCCCCACTTTTCCATTCTCTCTTCTTATTTACCATTCACACCTTGCTAAACCCAACAAAGTCTTGTTTCCAACTCCATCGGTTTGTCAATGAGAGTCCGAAGTACTAAGACATTATGACTTATTTATCAGAGATGCTCCAACCTGGTGGAAGTCCGCGACCCAGTCCGTGGCAGAGAGGAAGCAAACCTCACTGCCTATTTAAATGAAATTTCATCTTCCAACTCCGGTTTTTATTTTTTTGAGGGTATTTTTGTCCTGAAACTTTTTGGAGGGAGTTATCTAAATGACTTTAAACGTGTAAAAATTCAATTATTCATAAATACATCCTCTCATTCACTCATATATTCCTATGCTCAAGAAGTTCAAAAAACTTCAAGGCCAGAGTTCATCTTCCAAAGTTCTTCATCAAGTTTCATCATTAAAGTATGTAAGACTATCTCCACCTTGTTCTTCCCTACAAACTACGTTTTCATGATTCAAAAGAATCCTTCGTGAATGAATTAGGGTTAGAACGAAACTCCATATTCTTGAATTGCTCTTGATTCCTCATGAACTTCCAAGAACTCTCCATGAAAGTATTTCAATTTCTTCATAATTCTTTAATTACCCATGAGTTTTTACAAGATTTCCTCTATGAAAGTATTTTAATTTCTTGATAATTCTTTTACACATGTGTTTTCTAAGATTTTCTACATGAAATTATGAATGATTACTAAAAGAAGAAATTCTTATCTTGAGAACTATTTTAATGATTTTCTTTATAACTTATTGATAACTCTTTGGCGATTTCTTAATATTTTCTTGGAATTCTTATATTATGAACCTTAGAACTATGAGTTATGAAAGTCCCCAAATTTAAGACGTTATGATGCTATCTTATGATTCTCTATACCACTTTATTATTATGATATGATATATGTCTCTCATGAATGCAAAATTATGATACATGAACTTTAACCTCATGACGTGATGATATGAATGAAATTTATGAGCTATGGTTCCTAAATGTTATGGATATAAGTCTCCGGGCAAATCCATGATCACATGAGCTTAAGAGAGCTAAGTAGTCAATCGAAAAGGCATAATTCTAAATGACGAACTCTGAAAATACGTTTGTCGACATAGGTTAAGGATCGAATCGTTGGTTCATATGACTCCTTTTATGCTCATGGTAAGGACTAGTTGTGAATTAATATGATATGTACTCTATGTCTCATACTCGGTAAGGTATGAGATGTCTTAGTTGATCGGGTTGAAATCAAACTCCATTCGCTCACATGATGGTTTTTATTGGTTACCCTATTAAACTCTCATAATAAACTAAAATATGATTAAAAAAAAGGTATCCCTAAGGCATTCTGAACGACCTCATCTCTTAACATTCATATGTCACGATTGTGATTATTGTAGTTGTTTATACTGATCTTGATATATATGTTATATTTCATTCCGCAATTTTACCTACAGTACAATTTCATATGTACTTAGATTCCTTCCGCCGAATGTGTTGCATCTTTTACTGATGCAGACTTAGGTACACTGACAAATGGTTAAAAGATGAATTTGATATATCAAAAAGAAATATCTACATTTAATTTTTTAATAATTTTGAGTTATTTTCGTTCAAAGCATATCCAATTGACTTGATATAAAGAAAAATTATTGGAAGAATGTATCGAAAAGCGCTATAGTCCGAGTGAAATCCTACTTTGCGTGAATTCATATTAATTGGAGGAACGTATATATGTATCATCTTTCATTTTGCACAATATATAGTGCATCTTGCAAGGTGATAGTGGATGAGCTTAAAATATTACAATAGAACAAATCAATTATTACAATTGTATGAAAAAATACTAGTAATATTCCAAAGGGCAATATTTACTTCGGCTTCTCAAGTAAATGTATCATTGACCAAATTCTTATTTAATTAAATGGCTGAATGTATATGTAATGTATCAATATTATATAAATAGTGTAAGATTGTATATGCATGATGTATAGCTATAAATTAGATATGTATAAATAATCACAAACACAATTACATAATATTTATACATTACAACGCATCTTCCTCACGAGTTGATTTTTTTTCAATACCGACTAGCTTAAATCTCCTCTAAATAGTCCTAAATTATACATATGAAAAAATCTCCATGTTTCGATTCTTTAATATATTATATTTTCACTAGAAATGATCAATTTAAATTTGCGGTAGATCGATTTAAAATTTTGAGATTCAAAAGCTTTTAATGAATGATTTCGATGGACATCTGATTCAAGTCTCCACTAAACAATCCAAAATTTAGATATTATTAGCTACTCTCAATATTTCTATTCTCTAGATATATTCACTCAAAATAATGTATAGTTGCGATGATGTTAAATTTTATTTATTTAAACTTACCCAATTGCCCGAAGAAGATCCGAGTAGACATAGACATAATCAGTAAATGATCAAATGGTCATTCTATTGTTTTAATTTCCCGATTACTTTTATCGGAAATGTAGTCAAACAAAGCGATTTTAATAACTATCAGAAATGACTCGTCTTCTAGTAGATGATTAAAGAAACAATGAGTTTAGAACTTTCCTTGTTACTTTAAATTATATCATTATCATAATAATTTAAGACATAATAGGTAGATTTAAAAAGCAAATTAATTAAACTTCAAAAAAGGAAAAATAATAAATTTTGGTCAATGTAGTATTTAACTTTCCATATTCCTACCACAACTTTGGAAGTAATTAAAATACTAATACACTATAAAAGAACCAAGCTAGTCTCATGTATTGAAATCATTCATTCATAGTTCTTTCTATTTTCTTTGTCATGTTTTCAGAAAAACTCATAACTTTCAAGACTAGCGATGGTGAGGAATTCAAACTCAATGAGTCTGTGAGGTCAGAAGTCATGAAGAACATGGTACAAGATGTAGATAGTACTTCTAATGTCATCCCCTTGCCTATTGTTGATGGCAAAACAATGACCAAAGTTGTTCAATATTGGAAGAAATATTCGGAAGAAGGTGTTACGGAAGATCAATTAAAGAGTTTTGATCAGGATTTCTTGAAGATGAGCCAATCGGAATTAGTTGGTGTTCTCTTGGCTGCTAATTTTTTTGATGATAAGCAGTTGAAGGAGATAATAATCCAAGAATTTGCTGATAGGATCAAAGGGAAACCAATAGAGGAAATACGTGAAGTATTTGGTATCGTGAATGATTATACTCCAGAGGAAGAGGAGGAGGTCCGTAGAGAGAATGCTTGGGCTTTTGAATGATTTTATAATATTTCCCTTATTTCCTTAGCTATATCCTATTTTTATTGTTATTTTATTTCTGTTAGTTCTATCTTCTGTTGTTCCTTTTTGAAGAAATAGTGCTCGGTTTTGAATGATTTATAAATTATATTGGAAAGAAATTAAAGCTTGTTATGTTATTTGAGAAAAAAATAATTATCCTTTTAGATACATTATTCACTCAAATTTCCTCTAAATAGTCCTAAATTTGATATATATCTGAGCAACTTTTGATGTTTTAATTCTTTTAATATATTGTATATTCACTAGAAATGAGTAATTCACATTTGCGACAGATTAAATTATGAACTTGAGGTTGGAAACATTTTAATGACATATTTCAATAGATATCCGATTCAAATAATTTAGACTACATGACCTCCTCCGTTACCCCATACAACTATGATTGGATGATAGAAAAATTAAATGGTTGAAATGGAGTAATAGCAGTAAATTCGGCGGCGGCGAAGAGGAGGAAAAAGGTTGGATTTACAACAGTCCAGCGCACATTAACAATAGAAGAAGTAAAGAGGATTTTTTGTTAAAAAAATAGAACGAGAAATAAAATTAAAAAATAATTGGCACGTGGTAGGTAATTGTTGGTGTGTGTATGAACTTTCGTTCTTGTACGTGAGATTGACCGAAATTTGGGATATTTTTACCACGTTTAAATTATTTAAGGGGGTGCTAGGACCTCTGCAAAGTTCCTGTGTCTTTTAAAAAATGTGTTATAGTTGAATGGGGTAATGATGCATTTTTTCTCTCTAAATCATAAGACCTAGAATAGTCTCTCCACTTATATCGTGCATGTTGGGAGGACAATTAACATACAAACAAAATAATATGATGAACGTTACTTCCTCCGTCTCATATTAAATATTAGACTTTCTCTTTACATGTCTTTTAAAAAAATCATGAATAAGAAGGTTAGTTGGAAAGAAATTAAAGCTAGTTATAATATTTGAGAAAATTAGGTAGAGTCTTAATTTTCCTCTTGTTTAGGGTATAAAAAAGAAAACTTAGTGATAGCTTAAAGATGTGTCTACAACTATTCAAACACCATTCTCCAAAGTTATAATAACTTTAGCTTTTACAAGACGATACACAACAAAATCTTTCTTGTACCTATCACCATCTTCCTATCTGTTACATATGTTCTGAGTGATAAAGATTGGATTTTTCAAACACCCATTAAATCCAATTACAATAATTTTTTTGTTTTTAAGCAATAGTTTCCATAAATATTCCCATGAACTTTTTTTTCCCTGTTTTGACTTCCTACTTCAACTAGAACAGTGAAAACCTAATGCTCTATAAATTAAACCCTTCAAACCTCTCAGACATTATAATCATTTAAATCTCCTTTCAATAATATTCTCAAAAAAAATAAATTAACATCTCTTATTCAAAAATATTTTTATCATCATGTCTTCTTTAACAAAGTTCTTAACTTTAAAGACTTGCGATGGTATGATATTTGTACCGGACGAGGCGATAGCCATAAGGTCACAAGCTATCAAGAATATGATTGAAGACGATTGTGTTTCAAACGTTATTTCCCTGCCTAATGTCCATAGCAAAACAATGACCAAATTAAAGTGATTGAATACTGGAAGAAACATTCGGAGGAAGGCCTTTCCAAAGACATGTTTATGGATTTTCACAATTGTTCAATTTTCCTATTTTAATGGTGGTGATATTTCAGGTAGAATAAGGGAACAACATAAAGATGATCTGAGGTACGTTTTGATAAATAGTTGATCACAATTTAGGCAGGAAACTCTCATACCTAATAATTCACGTATGAAACTTGAAAAAACAGAATACTTTAGATTTCACACGTGATAACATAATTTTTATTTTATTTTATTTTTACTAGATTATTTGTTGCAGCATAAAAATTATTCAGTTTTTATACATATATCATTGAAATTTACTTAAATGGGTTTTGTAATTTGTAGTAACAAAAATCATTGAACTTTACTAAGGAATCAGAAGTTTTAGGTAATTGAGATTGCTCAGGTTTAATAATCTATCAAATGTTTGAACAAATTTGGAGGTTAACTTATTCACATTTTCTATAATTTGAAGTTGAAATTTATTTGACCATCCACAAGAGTGGTTGGTAATAGTAACTCATGAAAAATGTTTTTTTCCTCCCTTTTACATTAGATAACAAAGAGTAGAAAATGTTAAAATAATTATTTTTGTAATAAAAAATTCATTCAACTTTGCTAATTATAAGTATCATTTCATTTTAAGCTAGATTACAAAGAGTTCAGTTTTCCCTCATTCTTGATCTAACATATGCATTAAATTAAAGATGTGTAATGCAGAAAGATGTACAATTTTGCCTCGTTCCGTGAATAAATTAGTGCATTAATTAAGAAGCTCACATATATGGGAGAAAAATAGAGACGAATTTTATTATTTAAATTTTTTGGTAAAATTTTAAAATTATGGATTCATATATAATACTCTGTTATAGTTTTGATAAATTTTTACATATAAATAAACGATCAAGGAAAAAATGTGATTTTTACCTGGTCGCACAAGTAGAGTTAGACAAAAAATTGTAACGAAAGGCAAAATTGAACAATTTCGAGTATTGTATAGATAAATTTAAACTTTTTATCTGTTTCCTATTAAGTAACTCATTGTTAATTAGGGAGTATATAATCATTTATTATGAGTAATGTAACACCCCAGAAAATTTTTAAGCTAAGACTCGAACCGTTAATCATAGTGAGTTAGATTTTTGCAAGGAATTTAAAATTTCTTGAGTATTAAGGTCACTAGATGTTGCACCTTGAGTTCCAAGAAGAACCTAAGAGAAAAGCATTCAAGTCATTCCTAGTTTTTCTTAAGTTTTGATTCAACTTCAAATGACCATAACTCCTAGTACATGATGAGTTAGGTGAGCTACAAGATAGAAAATTAAATCAGTTCGAGTTCTCTTTCCAATACCACCGAGTTTTCTCAATTCCGAGCTCTGAGTAAAATGTTATGACGGATTTAGTATCATCGCGCAAACCTCACTGCCTGGTGAAAGATCTTTCCGACTCCCAGCTCATTTTAATTATATCTTTAGGGGTATTTTAGTCCTAAAAACCCTTAGGAGGTCATCTAATTTGCCCTAAACGTGTAGAAAATCAGTTTTCTTAAATCTAAACCCTCTAATTCACTCCAAAGTTTCTACGCTCAAGAAATTCAAGAAAAAGCTAAGGCTAGGGTTCTTCCTCAAAGGTTTTCCTTCAAGTGCTGCAAAAAGATGGTTCTTTCAGGTATGTAAGCTTCCATAGTGTTGAGTTTGTTCACCCACACGCCCATCATGTTAATTTCAGCGTTAAGTTCATTCTAGAAAGTTGAAAGTATGATGTTCTTGAATTATGTTCTTGAAATTGGCTTTAGTTCTTGAGTTTTGATAAGATTATTGAGTTCTTGATGAAATCATGTCGATTTTAGAGTTGTTTATGAGTAGGTTTTTGTGTTCCATAAGAAGAGTCGCATACATGAGTTCCATATTGTTATGTAGACCATCGAGTTGAGTTGTTTCATGCCCATAATTCCGCATGAACTTCGTAAGTTGAGCATCCTTCCGAGAAGTGGTATCTTCAAGTTCTAAGCCTTTAAGTATTGAGTTCCTAATTCCTTTTGAGAAGTATCTTTGTGTCATTCCCCGAGCCTACACCCTGGACGTGGCCGGCACTCGGAGACAATTGCTGGCCCCAAGTGGACCCTTGGCCTGGCTTACTTAACTCAGTGGAAGACTTAACTCAACAGAATAAACTCAATGCAATAGTTTAAATGATAACGTCTTAGCCAAAATGGCAACTTATGTCTCAAAACAAAGTATTTGCAAATACATAGATGAGAGACTCAATACTAACTGTCTGACTATCTATGAAGCCTTTATAATACTGAGATGGATGTTGGGACAGGGAAAGTGAAATAACAGAGTCCTCTGGAATGCTAGGAGGCTCACCACTGACTCTGGAGTGCTCAACTGGATCAACGGCGTGCTGGATACTGATCTTGGTTACCTTTGTCTGCATCATAATAAGATGCAGGCCAACTAGCATCAGTACATTGAATGTACGAGTATGCGAGTTGGAAAGCTAAACAACAACTTAAGCTTGAAAGGAGTACAAAGGAACACTTACCTTGGCTCTGTTTAACTCATGAACAACTAAACTCAATATAAAGCAATAAGATACATGCAATATATATAAAGCTTGTAAAACAGTGTAAACAACTTAGTTCGTTAAAGATAAAGCAATAACAAACTCAACTTTACTTAAATATAAAAGTAATATAACTTTTATGGGAGATTCTCTAATTGACAACCACCACTATGAGCCTAAGTGGTGATACAACGTCTTTCCCACGCTGCCAGAACTGTCATATACTTTGCCATCCTATAGAACGCTTAACTTAGTGCGTCCACTAGTCTATGCTAAAAGCATCTTAAGGAGTCATCTAAAAAGTATGATCATTTACTACCCATGATAGCTATATGGTTTATGGAGACTTGAGTTAATATGAACTTGCATCCCCACATCGGTGCTCAATACTACTCCGAAAATATACTTAGCTCATATGTTCGTAAAAACAAAACTCTTTCTTTGAATTGAGATAATTACTCAAAACTTAGCTTAAAAGCTCTCTTGTAATCGATGTTCCCTTTCTTGCTCAAATATGAAACATTTATAAACTCTTTGGGAATACTTAATCCCCTTATAACTTTCTGAGAAATGAACTCAACTCTTTACTCTTTGCTTAACTTGAAACTTGAGCCTAAAAACGAAGTTTAAACGTTTAATAAAGACTATTGAAACTTTAAGAAACTTTGCTTTGACTTGCTTCTTAACTTCTAGACTTGACTCTTAACTTCTTTGGCTTTGATCTTAACTTTGCTTCAATTGGATTATGGATTCAAGGTTCATGATCTCATGTTTACGGATGATTTCATGATGTTTAGA